GGGGGTAGGGGGGGTTCAATACAATGCCAATTTTAAGTAAATAATTATTTAAATGAATCACTGAATAGATGACTAAATGAATCAATTCGTGACTAATAATAATAATAAATGAAATTTATATAGCGCTCAATTCCAATTACAGTACACAGGCTCTGAGCGCTTTACAATACAATACAATGTACAACAATAACATAAAACGTTGTGTTCTGACCTAAAGAAAATCACTCCAAATATTCATCTTATTAATTTAAAAACAGAAAAGACTTCAGCAGACACTTGAATGAATAAGTAAATAAATAGATTTTTAAAAACGGTAAATCAACAAGCAAATAAACAAAAAAAAAAATAAATAAGTGTCTTGTTTGTAGATGACGTCAGTTCAGGCTCAAAACTTTCCTGACCCTTGCAGGACTGGTACCAAATATTTCTTTATTAATACAAATAAAATAGCAGCATTGGTTCTGCATCGACTGTATCGAGATATTTGCACCTTTGCAATTTCTTTCAGTTTTCTCCACAGGCCAAAAATAGTCGATTGAAATTTGCAGATGCGCCTCTAAAAATAGAAATTATAAACTGATATGCAAACACCCATCTGTAAACTAGAACTTGCTTCTCGAAGACAGAAAATACCTCGTAATTTAGCTTTCCAAAGCAGTGAGTAAACCTGATTCTTAAGAGAAAAACGTGATGAGATGATGGGAGATTGCGGAGAAACCCATCCATTTACTCACTGACACAACAGGGGTATACCATTTTAAATACCTTGCCGTGGCGTGGGGAAACAAGCGATTAATTTTAAATCGTTATCCGATATTTGTAATCAGACACAAATTATCTCCCCATGTTCAGGGGTTACTTCCCCTTTAGACTAAACACTGAGAAATCTTTCCCGATACAGAGAGACATGTCTGATTCTTCCTCATCACCTAACACAAAGTGTTGTACGTTGTTTTCTTTCCATTTCAGTGATCGGAATTGTGCTATTTAATTTGAGTTCAGCTAGAGTCAAGCCTGATTGTGGGATATAGTGGTTACATTAAATTAACGTAAACATTCGAGGAATTTCCAATTGTCTGTCGTTTTAGGAATTATCTCCCTATCAATCAGTGTTTAACTTTTCATGGAAGTTGCAGGGGGAAAATTCAGTACAACCTTTTTTTTACACTCTTACTCTCGGAAAACAATACTTAGCAGGCTGGCTTTTTCACAGTTCGACGCTCTTGAAAACGCAAATACATCATTTTGAAAGAGTTAGGATGGT